GAGTTCTTGGACAGCTGGAAGACATGTGGGAAATGCTAATTATTGTTTATTAACTGTAAAACACTTCATAGCAAGATGTTGTCCCCATATGCAACTGCAAGTTCATGTGGCATAATTAATTGTGGGCAAAATCAGTTACTCCAATTGTATCCAAAAAAATTAAGTAAATATCTGGACCTTCAGGTTGAGCATCCTTGTGTTCAGTACCGCCCTGGTTTCCTCATTTATGTCTCTTACTTAGAAAGATGGAAGATAGGAACAACCATTTGCTGTTTAAGTGTTTGCTTGGTTTGTTTTCCTTACTTTATACTGGTACATTTTTTGAAAAATAGTTCGAATGACAAAGCTGACTGCTTGCTTACCTTCCTGTGGCTGCTGGAAGCTCTTCAGAGAATGAAAGAACATTTATTTGTCAGTCATTTTTGTTTAATTGTTAGTCTTATGCAGCAGTTCTGGGTTTTCCGTTCAGAGAAAAGCTTTGCTGTCATTTGTTAGAGAGTGTTCTAGTCAAACCATTTGATGGTTTTGAAACCCCACTTCTGGTGGGGCAGTTCTGCCTTGATTATTCTGCCACAGATGATTTTCTAAAAACCTTTGAAAAAGCAGTAACAGGAACGGTTCTGTGCAGTTCACAACTTTGATGGTTTTTCTCCTCCTCAGGAGCTGGAGCCATGCATAGGGTGCATGCAGACTATTGCCAACATCAAGCTCATCAAGAACTGCCAGGAGCCCAACGAGGGGGAATGCCAGCAGTGCTACTGCCGGCCCATGTGGTGCCTCACCTGCATGGGCAAGTGGTTTGCCAGCAGACAGGACCAGCAGCACCCAGAGACCTGGCTGTCGAGCCAAGTGCCTTGCCCGACTTGCCGAGCCAAATTTTGCATTCTAGATGTTTGCCTAATACGATGAGTAGTAACTTGGGTATGTTTTAACTTTTTTAATTTGACTGTGTTTCATAGTGGGTTTGGTTTAAGGCCTGCTAGATCTGTTTCTGAGACTTCATGTTCTACCAGGGTACAAACTCTAAAGGTTTATTTTACAGTGTTGAAAACAGATGTAAATCTTTTCAGTTCCTTTCCACTTTTACCTCATCTGTGGATTTTACTCACCTGATGTCAGCTTCTGGACTTTAATTTTGTTTAAGGCCCAGTTTTCCTTTCTTACATTTTGGATGGAATAAGGTTATCCTTCTATATTTGCAGTACTGTTGTTTTTTTCAGGTTTTAACGTAGGTTAAATTCTTTATATTTTTAAATTTTACTTGGATTTTGATTCTTTAATAAAGGGCTAACTGAGAAAATTGCTTTTGTTAGACTTCATTGATACTTTTGTTATTCTTTAATCCAGTTGTAAAGTTATTAATCTTTGCAGTTGTTTTTCAAACAAGTGCACCAGTTGTGTTCGTTCAGCTGGAAGGAGCTACTTCCACTACATCTACCACAACGGGTAGCAGTAGGCTAAGAAATGTAATCCCTGAAGATTTACAAGTCCTATACAGACCTTTAATTCCATTAATTTGCCTCTAGCATGCTTCTTGATGGATGTCTTTATTTCAAACAACAGAAGGATTTGTCAACCCATTTACCTACACTGCTAATACATGGTTAAAATCTGTTGGTTTCCAGGAGCTACATTGCGTAGGGTTTCCATGTTCTTTAGACTTTTTTTACATACATTTGAGTGGAGTGCAGCAAACATCTGAGTTTTACTTTTGAAATTAAAATCACAGGTGGGTCAAATAGAGAAAGTAATACTTTAAAGCATTGGTCTACAAGAATAAAAGCTCTTAATACCTCCCACCTGAATAATCACAAGGATCTTACCTGTAAATTATGGGCAGAGGTGGCATGCCAAGGATTACATGACAATCTCTTGATTACCATGACAGGCAACTGGTTTGAGCAGGAACAGGTGGCAGGATGTAGAAATGGTAGAAGTATTGGAAGCACAACTGTGAAACATTTTATGAGTCTCAGCTGAGCTACAGGTGGTGAATGCACCTACCTTGCACTTGCAACCAGCCAGGAAATGGTTACAAATGTGGTTGCAAGCAAGAATTCATAGAGAGGTAAGGAATTGAAGACAGATCTGAAAAGTAACATTTAATTGTTGGTATTGGATTTTAACTTTGACATTTTTAAATAATATTCATTTGTAAAAATCCAGACTGGTTGAGTTTAAGAACATTTATTGCTTCAGCATATCTCAGTTGCTTTATATACAACATCTACTATGCAATTAAGTAAACTGCCTGTTAATAACAGTGGCTTCTCTGTTTTCCATTACCTGCTGTTTTGGATTGTATGGATGTACAGAGTGAAAATTTGACACTGAGACAGGTTGTGTGGATTAATCTCTCTTTCCCAAAGAGATTTCAGTGGCATGTCACTCTTCATCTGAATAGAATTAAATGGAGTTCTGGAGTTTCAGACAGATTTGTTGGTAAGTCTGAAAACTAATAAAATAATCTAGGACTCAATTAGCAATTGAATTTAAAATATTTCCTTTGTACTTCTGTGGGAAATTTATTTCCAGATTTAAAATGGTCTCTGCAGGATTTTTTAATCTTTGGAAGGGTCTTGCAGGGCTGGGTGGTGTTGTCTGACATGCGCCAATCACTACACAGCAGCCTTCATAAATAAGCATTTTGTAACATTTGCTTCTGAAAAGTTTACATAATGTGGCACCAATACAAAGGATGTGGCCCTGGAAATAGCTGCAGAAGAGAGGGTAGGATTTTGGAGCTGTGGTTTTACTACCACCAGTCATTCAGATTTTACAGCACTTTGCCTGTTCAGAATAAAAATATTAATTGTAAAGAATGTGAGGCTAAAATCATAAAGGCCTTGAGAATCTTAGATGCAGGTAGTTGCAGATGGTGTTATAGACTAAAGCAAGGTCAGTTGCCAATAGTATCTCATGTAATAAAAGCTTTAAATTCCCAGTTCCTACTGCAGTGGAATCTACTCTGAGTTGACTGGAAGTTTTCACTTCAGTGGAACTTTGCTCTTTTTCATCCTACCTCTTTTGTCAATATAAAAGTACAACAGAGTAACAGTCATAAATATTTTGTACCCTTGCATCTTTTAATGCACAGAAGTGCCTCTAAGAAAACTTAGTATAATTACCAAAGCAAAATTATGATTTATGTTAATGATAATGCCTGCCTTATATTCCTTAAAACAGTTTTCCCCAAGTTTAAATTCTCAAAGTAATCTGACATGCCTCAAATATTTGTGAGCTTCTTAAAAGCTGTGTTAGAGAAACAGCTTGTTAAAAATCCATATGAACATTAAAATCATAGAGTACAAAAATAGGTATTTGTCAATGTGATAGCTTCAGGTTATGATCCAAAGAGCCACGGGGCCATTTCTTTAAGGTCCCTTCCAACTCAAACCTGTCTGATAATGTAAAACTTGCTAGGCTGCAGCTAAGCACCATTCCATTCAGGACAAACCTCAATAAGACTCAGGTTCTCAGTGCCATTTTTAAAGAAATGTTGGTGGACTTGGAGCTTTTTAAGGAGTTGAGATATAAATACTCAAGCTCTTACATGGATTACAAGACATTTGCTTCCAAAGACATACTTCAGGATTTCTTATTTGTGGTTTTTGGCGTTGGTGGGGTTTTTTTGCTAGATAGCTTGCTTCTTTAAAATGAACAGTATCATTTGGATAGCCCTTAGGGAAAAAGGCTTAATGAATACCTGCAGTTAACCTTCTGAAGAGCTCAATAAAAATACAGCCAGTTCTTTGTAAGACTTCTGGTTTTAATTTTCAAGTTAATTTTACCAGGTAAAACTTTAAATGGGTGGAAATCAGTCTGGCTTATTGGTATGCAGTGTCTTACCTGAGAACATGGGAATAAATACAAATAGAGCTTAAATTCTCCTGAAGGTGTACATGGTGAGCCCTCCTTGGATGGATTTTCCTACTGCAGCCTGAATGCAGAGGGTTGCATAAATGGAAGAAGATGTGTATGAAATCTCTAGAAGACCCTCAGGGGAAAGAAAGCCTTCAAATACTTTTCAGAACTACCAGATGGGAAGGGGTGCCACTGGATGTCATGAAATCAGCAGGGGCAATGACTATAAAAATTTGTGTTTCGAAGGAAGTGCTGGCATGTAGCAATGGTGTGTCCTATATAAAACATTTATTTCATCATGACCTTGCTCAGATTTATTACCAAGAACCACCAATAAAGAATCTATCACATTCCTGTAGTAGTGGACCTGTTGGAATGTGTCCAGAGGAGAACCATGAAGGTGTTCAGAGGGTTGGAGCACCTCTGCTATGGAGATAGGCTGGGAGAGGAGGAGGTGTTCGGCTTGGAGAAGGCTCCAGGGAGACCTTGGAGCACCTTCCACTACCTAAAGGGTCTCCAAGAGAGCTGGAGAGGGACTTTTCACAAGGCCATGGCATGCTAGGACAAGGGGGAATGGCTTTAAACTGAAAGGGAGTAGGTTCAGATTAGATACAGGGGAATAAATTCTTTACTGTGAGGGTGGTGAGGCACTGACAGGGGACCAGAGAAGCTGTGGATGCCCCATCCCTGGAAGGGATCCTGTTCAAGGCCAGGCTGGATGGGGCTCTGAGCATCCTGCTCTAGAAGGTGTCCCTGCCCATGACAGGGGAGTTGTAGGTGGATGACCTTCAGTGTCCCTTCCAACCCAATTCCTTATGTGATTTTGTGAAAGTAGCTAGCCTGCAGCTAAGTACCATTCCAGTCAGGATAAGCTCAGTAAGACTAAAGTTCAGAGTGCCTTTCTTGAGAAATGTTTGTTGACTTTGAGCTATTTAAGGAATTGAGATATAAATATTCAAGCAAGTTATCTTTAATGTCCTTTTCAAGCCAAACTGCTCTATGATTCCATTAATGGTATGAAATGTGGGACACATTCCTGTAGTGTGTACACTGTGGTGGCCACCAAGCCCTCACTACGTCTAGGAGAAAAATTGTCCCAAAACGAACCCTTGGCTATTGCGTGAGGTAACGCCGTGATGCGGGAGCTGGTTTTTCCCTGCATTTGCGAGCGGAGTGGGCCGGGGGATGCAGCCGGAGGGAGATGCTGTGAGGGCAGTGGTGCCCTCGGTGTGAGGGAAGCTGCGCCGGTGCCCTCGCAGGGGCGCAGGACGCTTTTCTCCGCTCCCGTCAGACCGACCGGCAACGCCGCAGGAACATCGCCGTGCCGGGCTCTCCCGGCCGCGCCTGCGCTCCCCGCGGGAGGACGGGCCGCGCCTGCGCTGCCCCCGCAGCCGGGCCGGGCCGGGCCGGGACCGTGTTGGGCCTCCGGGGGCGGCGGAGCCGGGCGGGCTGCGCAGGTGGGAGCGGCCGCGGGGGGACGGGGAGCGGGGCGGGCGGGGGTGCGGCGCTGGCTGTCCCGGGGCGGCTCCGCCTGTCCGGGGCGGCTCCGGAGGCAGGTACCGGCTGTGCAGCCCCTGCTCCTCCGGCAAACGGACCCTTGTCCTGCGGCCTCGCCCCCCGTGCGGTGGCGAGGGAGGAACCAGCAGCCCCGGGCAGGGGCTCGGCGAGACGCCCCAGCCCGCCTGAGGGCACTGGGGCTTGGTGTCAGGCTGGAGTGGGCGGGCAGTGCAAAGTAAATACTGGAATGTTTCTAAAAGACGTAATTTTCGGTTATCATTTCCCCTTTAAAGCAGTGTCGTACTTACGGCATGTGTTATAGTGTACGTAAGCTGGTTTAGGAATTGTTTTCTTTCAAGTTGTTAAACGAGTGGTTGTTTAAGATGGTTAGGGAAGGGTTGTAATCGTTTATTGCCTTGGCGAAAACTGAGAGGGTTGGGAAGCAGACCATTTGCCTGGGTCTGTGACTCTGAGGAAGCTGCTTGTGCTGTTTGTGCCGGGTGGTGTTGGTAACTTCGAGCCCTCTGGGAGCAGGAAACTCCCAAAGCCAGGAGGGGTGGAGGAGGAAGGGAAAGAAAACATGGGTGATTAACCGCAGGAAAACATCAAAAATCCTTTCTTCTCCCTTGTTGAGCTAAGGGCAGAGATCTGGCCCATGCAAAGCAGAGTGTTTGCTGTTAGTCACACATACAAAAACACGTAACAGAGCTGCAGTACCACATCGTTCTCTCGGGCAGGTGTGGCGGTGGATGTGCAGTTGCGGCCCTTAGCACAGAAAACAGGTCTGGTGCTGGGAGATGCTATGGTTGTGTTTGTTTTAGTAAAATGTCATTTAAGATGTCAAAGCCACCAGAACCAAGGAGGAGAATGTAGAGAACTCAACCCTTAGGCAATCCCTGGCTGACCTGCCAGTGTGTTGTCAGCACTACAGGCAGTTCCCTGTCCCAGGCTTCCTTGTGAGGGCTCCACAGCTGAATCTGGTCAAGAATTTCCTGTGTAAAAGTGTTTCCACATAAATATTTGACCTACTTCTCCTTAGCCATTGCATTCAAGTGTAGTTTCTGGACTTGCGTTTTCTATGAGCTTACTACTGGATGGGGCAGTAAGATTTACAGTTTATTACGTGACGACTGTGAGGATGGACATCTCCACAAGTCCGTAAATGCTGGTGGCAGTCCTCGCTTAGGTTTTTCTCTCCCCACCAATTTGTTTGCAAAAAGAGTATATTTTTGTTATCAAAATATTAAGTGTTTATTTGAAAATTTTGATGTCTTAGTTGCATTGGTCAGAGATTGCACTAACACCTTTGTTAAGTACAAAGGTATTTTCTCAGCAATTGCACTAATACCTTTGTTAAGTATGTGTTGCCTGAGTAGGTTGATATGAATCACATGTCTGTATGCCAAATCAAATTGTCCATCTTTGATTTTTATAGGCCATGTTGAGTGACTACCGGTGACTTGATTTCAGATGAAAATTCTTGTTTTCTAGCTCTGTGCAACATCCACACTGCTGGCATCAAGAGCAGGAGCATGGAAGCTGCAATGATTCCGATTCTCTGGTGTTTGAGGAATATCGATGTGGCCATTCACACCACTGGTAAAGAATAAGTGTAAATTTGTTTTAAATGTCCACTTTACTGCACTCTTGTTTAGGACTCCAAGTAGAGCTTGGACATGTTTAGGTTGAGTGTTCTCTTCTAATAGAGTAGGACAGGGTTAGGAGGTGCCAGCTGCATCATGCCTAAAGAAGACCATCCAGTGTGCCTCATGGAAATACATGCCACAGTATTAGCAAGTGTTCAGAATGAAAGGGAGAAGGGCTGTGGACTGAAGCAGTAGTTTAAGCCCTTTACTGCTGAAGTCTTCAGTATTAGTATAAAAGTCCCAATGAAGCCATTTTCTGTTATGCTTATATTTTGCTTATGCATCTTTATGTGTAAATGTGGGCAGACCATGTTTGTCTCTTCATTTCTGTCTGGTATATTCAGCTGTACTGCAGGTTTTAGTGAGCACCTTTTTTTTCCTGGAGTCCATGCCTGAGGGCAATTTGAGATGAGGTAGAATTTTATACTTAGGTAATTCTCTGAATATTTTGCTTGGCTTTTGGATATTCTAGACTAAAGAGGCAAGGTGGAGGAAGTGGTTGAGACTGGTTGAGACTTAGAGTGTGATAGCAAGGGTGAAAAGTGGTGAGTGCTGAGATATGTGCAGAAAACTGAACAGAATGTAAGAGGAAATGTTTTACTCAGGGTACATGAAAACATTTTTGTATGTAATTCATATATTTCTGAGTATTCCACTGTATGAAGGTGATTTTAATTCTTGATGACATGTTTACTATTGCTTTGTTGAGGAATGAATGTTTTGAAGAGCTTAGGAAAGGGCCTTGTATTCAGGAGTGTTTTCTATGTCTTTGATGTGGTTATAAAAATACTGAGAGTAGGGCATGAGTGTGGGACTTAAGTGGATGCGCCAGCAGTGATTTGTGTTTCTCTTTTGCTGAGTGGATCTGTTCATTTTCAGTGTGGAGTCTTTGTCCTGTGTTAAAATGACATTGTCAGCTTGCATGGTAATTTCATCTGTTGATGTGAAGCCATTCAGAGAGAGTATGACTGTCAGCTAAATCTGCTTCTGTATTACTTCCATGACTTGTTAAATGTTGAGGCCTTAAAATTAAGAGAAGAGGACATGCTGAAGGTGATTTAGAACTGAAATAGAGAAGGAGCATGCCCGTGGTTTTACAGCTGTGGAGCTGGTTTTGTCCATTCTTGATGTTTCTGTTGATGAAATGTGTTACAAGCAGCAAACATTCATGTTGAATTCCCATTATTTTCCAGCTCTACAACATCAGAACATTCTGGGCCACTTTCCAGTTGCTCCAGCTGGGAAGGTAGAACTGAGGAAGGCAACACAATGAAGACATCAAATAAAAAAATGACCAAGTAGGTATTGCACTATTACTGCTTATTGTTGCATTTGGTTTTAGCAACAACCTTCTGATGATCTCTGACTATTTCACATGCATTAATGAGGATTTGAAACCACAGACAGGCTGTTTCATATCAAGCCTGAAGGATGCCTCGGGGAGGGAGTAGCACTGAGAGGTTTTGCCTCGAAAGCTGCTTGTGTGTTTATTTGAGATTGAGATTTGATTAGCACAGCTTTCACTTCTGTGAACTGGTGAGGTAAGAGTTGTGCTCACTGTCTGTCATTAAGAATACAGGGCAGTTCTAGAATATGTGCTTATGTAACTTCCTATAATGCTCTAAGGTTCTTTTCAACTTCATTTTTATTTTTAAATTCTGTTTCAAGCAACTCTGCCAATCCAGGTGAAAGGGAAACGGATGAGGTGGTCCTGAGGAGGAGACAAAAACAGATCAATTTTGGCAAGAATACCCTGGCATATGACAGATACATTAAAGAAGTTCCAAAGTAAGTTGCCCTGTGTTGCAGATTTCCAGATGAACTCTTAGTTGTTCCTGCTGAGGCTCTGTGTGTGACACACATCTTATCGTGTATCGGAATCTTCTCTGGAAATTCTTCCTGTGGCTTTTACTGCTGATTGTGACATTATCTGGTGTGTGATATCTCAGGGGAATTTGAGTCAGCTGTCCCAGCACTTCTCCCTCTCAACTCAGTGTTCACTCTCACCTTAGTGTCTGTGGGGTGGGGAAAGGAGGACACCTTGAAGCTGGGCAAGCATTATTCAGTAATGCCCAAAAATCAGTGTGTTCATCTGCCCTGTTTTAGAAATTAATGCAAAACACAGCACTACAGGGACTGCTGGGGAGGAAGGTAACTTCGTCCTTGACATGGTGCATACAATACTAAATAAAAGAAGCTGCACTTGACTCAGGAAGAGTGAAGTAGAAGGAGCTGCCAGTTAGGGTAATACTGAAGCAGTTATCCTTCTGTTTCATCTTTGTTCATGGGCAGTAAGGCGCTGCTTTTGGCAGCTGTCAGAATGCTGGACTGGATGAGCCTCCTGTCTGACTCAGCACATTATGGTTGGTTGTTGCATTTATGATTTATTTTTGGTAATGTCTTGTAATGTACACGTTTCAGTAAGTGTTTAAAATATGAATGTTATATTTATTAGACCACTGAAGCTTGTGTGACCTGATGGACTAAGGATTCTTTTTAAGGAAAAAACTCCTTATCTTCTGAAATAACCAATGTCCCTGTGTATTTCCAGGAACCAGCGGCTTCCAGGAGTTCACCCCACAACTCCCAACAAGTTCAAGAAGTACAGCCGCAGGTCCTGGGACCGGCAGATCAAGCTGTGGAAGATAGCACTGCATGCCTGGGATCCTCCTGCTGAAGAAACCTGGGATCTGCAGCCCGTGTATGTTCTGTGGGTGAATTAAGTCAAGGCTTAAAGAATTTAAGGAGGGCTCTGCAGTTCCTTCAGAGCATTCCTGCCTGGGAGAAAAAAAGATCAGACTGAACAATGGGAGTCTACTTGAATGCTTTGTTTGCCATTAGAATTCCATTAGGCTTCAAGATATTGCAGTTATTTAGTCTAAGTTAATCTGCAGTCAGGTGTTATGGGGAGAAAGGCTTTTGATCTGCCTGCAGTAGCACATAATGTTCTTACAGGTATGGTTTCTTTTCTCTGCTTAGCCTCCCTCTGAAAAATTGAGAGGAACTGTGTTGTCACAGTGCATGGATTCAGACATTTTCATTTTCTTTCCAGCCTTACTGACTCAGGACATCAGGATGCTTTTTCAAAGTGCTCAGAGTGGGAAGCCTTTGGTGAAAAAGATGAATTAATGACAGTACAACCAAGTATAGAAATAACAAGGTAAATGCCCCAGTGATTATGTTGTTATTTCTGTGTGTTGCTTATGCTGTAAAGGTGTCCTTTCCTTTTCTTTTTCATCTTTTCCTTCACCGGTTGCTACTCCTTTTTTTTGTTTTTCCTTCTTACATTTCCTCCAGCACGTGGTGTGTTTGGTTGTTATTTCTGTTCTTTGAGTTTACTTGGCTTTTTCCAGCCTGACTCTCCATCTGTTGCGTTCTGGTGCCTCTGCAATGCCAGGTAATGCTGGAAAATGAGGAGCCCCTTTGAAACTCTGTCTTGTAGAAAGAATTGGAAGCTTGCCTCTCACTTCTCAGCCTAAGAGCTGAAAGTTTCCTCTCTGTCTCCCTAAAGATTAATTTGTTTTGTAGTGACACCATGAGAGTTGTTTGTTTTTATGCAGTGACTCGATTCCAGCCAGTTGTTCTTCAGGATGGAACGATCCAGAACAGAAGAAATCCAGCTTCTTTCTGCCTGACAGCAAGTCTTGCAGGGATGCAGACTTCAGGCTGGAGAGGTATCAAATGCAGCTCATCAGCTTGGGTTTGAGGGGTATTTTTGCATATTATTTTAGTAGTTTAGTTGCTTTCTTGCTGTAATTCGATTGAAGCATTTATTATAAACATTTGATTTTTAATTTTTATTTAGGTATTTTTCACTATTTGTCTTAGGGATGTGTTGATAAATTTTTATATGTTGTGTGGTAAAATTCTCCCTTTGTTTTCATGTTATAGTCTTTGTTAATGTAAATGGATTGTAGCTGTATTTATTATTCAAAAGTTACCATAATAAAGCCACTTACTCTTTGGTTTTTGGCTTTTTTATTTGTAGGCTTAATCTTTGTGGCAGTTTATTGGATGGACATCAGTCAGAATACCCTGACAGAGGATGGCAAAGTGCAAATGCTGAAGATGCAATAGTGAGGAAAAAAATCTAAATACCAAGGTGAGTTTGTGCTGACTACTTAGTTGATTTGTTCTCTTTCAGTTGCCCATCCACAGTATAAATCTGCAGAGTGCAACTGTTCAGTTCAGGCAGATCAATTTTTCTTTTATTTTATTAAGTGTTTTATCCTATTCTCTTGCACTTAATACAGCACCTTAATTAAAAGACCTAGCGCTTAACACTTGCTAAGTTGAAAGTGTTACCTTTCAGCCAGAAGGTGTTTTTATCTCTCAAATGAAAAGTGCCAATTTTTTTAAAAGTATTTCAATAGCATCTTTTCTGTCTCTTAATGTTTTTATGATGAAATAACAACTTGGCATTTGCAGCAGTAGATTGTAGTGCAAATTTTCTTTTGGACTGTAGATTCCTGTGGTGCATTAATAGGATGGGTGGTAATCTGGGTCAAAAAGATTTTATTAGCAGTTAGTTTTTTGTGTAATTAGATTGTCTTTGATCTACATTTGATGCCATTTGATGCAGGCTCTGAAACATGGACTAGGATATAAATGTCTGTTAATCAGTGATCATTGAAAATTTTGCCTTATAAAACATTTTAAGAACATGGCCAAAATTAATTAACATGGCCAAAATTAAAATCTAAGTTTTACACTTAGATTTTGGATTATAGCAATGTGAGGAAAAGGCAGCTAGAGCTTTTAAAAAATTATGCTGGTGACATTTTTCTTTTGACTCTATTGATTTTTAATTTAAATTTTTTGAACATGAATAAGATTTAACACACTTTCACTTTTTAAAGTGCTAATTCAATACTTGAAAATATCTAGTCTCTCTTTGTATATAGAAGTATTGAAGAAGGAATTTCTCCTGTGACAGAAAAAGACTTGAAGAATAGGGATGTAGTCTGAGATCAGCAGATCAAGTCTTGGAAAACTGGTGCTGTCATGTAGGATCTGCACTGAAAGAGGAACAGATTTACAGTCAGCATATGTGCAATCAACATAAGGTGAAATTATTCAGGTAAAGAAGCACCTCTACATCACAGTTAAGAGCCTGTCTGGTTTCCACATAGTTGATATTTAGCTTTTTTTGCAGTGGTCTTTGTTGTAAATAAGGCTGTATTAAGGAATGTGTATATTCAGTGGCTTTGTAATCACTTGTTCTAATTGAAAAAAGGGCTCTGTTAGATGTAGAGTATATAAAGTGAATGCCTTCTCTGTGGAGCAACACATTGGTTTTCTGGGATGGAAAGATCAGTATTTAGAGCAATGTTGCCTTTAACCTTGGCTTTTAGGTGTGATGAGCTCTAACTCTCAAGTGTCAGGAACTTTATCTGTGGAAGTTTAATCTTACATGGTAGCTTACATGGTAGAATCCCACACTATCTTCCCTTTTGCTAAAAGAAATTCCTGTTTTAAACAGGACTAAATGTAAATGTATCTGGTTGATTTCTAGGGAAAAACCTTAGTCCATAGGACACCTAAGATATGTCAGAAATTTGTTGATTAGAATTGAGATAAAAGTCTGTTATATGAATTAATAATGACATTTAGATGAAAACGATGCAGGGGGTTGGGAAGAATAGGCTCAGCTGCTTCCTTTTCTCTGTGTCAAATACTTCAGGAATGTAGGAATCTAGTACTGTATTTCTTCAGTAATTTATGTTCTCAAAATGTTCATGCTAGCTGAAACACTTGCTTTAGTATGGACAGTATGGGTTTTTCCTTTATACTGTGCTATAAGCTCACCATATGCAGTGCTCTCTTCCATTTACTGCTACTGTAACACTGCAGCTTAAGAGAGGAGAAGAGGAGAAGGTTTTGTTGTTAATGCCGGGATAGAGCACGTTTATAAAATGCTGTTACCTGCTTTTTTGTTTAGGTTTCTACAGATCTTTATAAGGATAGATTGTTTTCTGCAAACTGTGCCTCAAGTGTAAAACTCCAGATTTTGTGAAGCCTGTGCTGCAATGACAATGGATGTTCCTTAAAGCTTTTGTGAGGACATTCCTGTTGTGCCTGTGTTGGCAGGTGACATGTGCACTATATTCCAAGGGCTGCTTCAGGTGATGGATCCTGCCATTCAGGAGGTCTTGTTCCTTAGGGTGTGCTGATGTTTCACCAGTGAATTGGTCCAGTATCAAGTCAGACTGAAAAATGCCAACCCCTCCAACCAAGGAACCTCCTCTGCTCCACTGGACCAGAACTGGGCATCCAGCCTGAAGAACTGTTTCAAAAGAATGTAGATAATTTCAGCCTTCCTCCAGTCAGTAAAGACAAGCTGTTCATAACTTTTGGATTGGGTGATCACCAATTTGGCCTATTTATTGTTCTCTGAGATGTATTAAGATGGCATTTGCCTAAGCCAGGTGAGAGAAGAGAAGGGAAAAGTGTATGGTTTATCAAAATCAGATCCTATTCTTGAAGGGGTTGAGTGACTGTTAGAACAGCAGCACAGCTTAAATACCTGGATTTTGCTTTTAGGTGTGTTGCAGCCTGACCCAAAGAGCCAGTCTGCAGTTAAAGAGTAGGAGAGGATACAGTGAGTGCCTGTTTTTCCTACAACTGTTGGGGATAAATAGCAGTATTTGCAGGTGTGGAGCTGCTCTTGTCCAGGCTAAGGGTTGTGATGGTGTTGGGGTTGGCTCTCCTTCTTTCATTCTGCTAGCACTATGTGCAGAAGTTTGAAGTGAGAGCTGTGGCTACAGTGGTTTGGACTAAATTCATGTGCCAGTTACAAGAATTTTACAATCCTTGTGTAGCATGTACTGGGATACCAGTGGCTGCTAGAGCTGGGAGTTGTCTCTGCAGGAGTTTGGTTTTGCTATGGGGCTGGCAGTACCCAGGGCCAAGAGCCCATTGTGCTGCTGATTTTGAAGTAAGCTACTTCCTCAGAAACTACTGTCACTCCCAGAATGTTATTTCCAGGCTTGCTCAGGCATTTTTCCCAACACAAGGATGTATCAGTCACACATCACAGAGCACAGATCATGTGTGTACAAGGGACACATCTGTACAGCACTTTTCTAAGAGGTAATATTTAGGACCTTGTTGTTCCAGTGTGCATGTTTCCTTGTGATTTATGATGCTTGTAAATAAGGGAATGTGTTACATTTTTGGCAATTTGCCTTTATGCAGAAGAATTAAAGACTTGAACTTCAAAAATCCTTGTTAGTCTGCTTTTGCAGTTGTGTTGTCAGTTTGATTATAAAAGGAATATGTGGCTTCAGTAGTACTTTCTTGTTTGTTTTAGGGTGTTTACTTGGTTTGGGTGGTGATTTTGGATTTTTAGTCCTTGCTAAAAGGGGAATAGAGGAGTCTTCAGAGATTAAAATTAGACTCTTGAAGGCAGTTTACAATTCTGGTTTTGTCCAGCCCCTCAGTTTTAAGGCATTGTAACTTAGTGGGAGGGAGCAGCTGAATCCCAGCACCCATTCTGCCATGGAAAGGGGTCCTGCTGGAGAAGAAGGAGCTGCTAGGTGAGAGTAATGGGCTGCTGAGAAATACTAAAACTCATTTTAAGTATTTTATGAGTATTAAGTGCCCTTAAGCTTTTGCCTGTGATGGACCGGGCCTGCAATGGATTTAGGGACACATCCGTAGGATTTTCCAATTCAGCAGTCCTTAAAAGATCTTTATATATCTTGGCTGAAGATGAGACTAGACATAGCATAACCAATCTGCCTGTGGCAGTTAAATTTTGGGCAGATTTATTCCCTAATCCAGATTCTGTGTGCTTGAACAAGCTGTGGTAGCACAAGGGAGGGAATCAAACAGCAGATGAAGTTTGACGTCTGCTAAAGTCATTTAGCAGACCTCATGGTGCTGCCAGTGGATGTAGAATCATCCTGTGTTCTAATTAGTAACCTGATTAGTCTAAATAGAGCACTCAAAACTGGAATGCAGCCTGTCCATGCACTTGTTTACCTACCCAAGGCTGTCTGACACAGAGCTTGCAAGTGAGGTAAGTGAAGCAGAAGTCTAGCACTCCACCCCCAGTTTTTCCTTTAATTTTACCCAACTTAATTAAATCTCCTCTGCATAAATCTGTGCTCGGTTTATAATTAAACCAAAATATACCCTGAACTTCAGCAGACAAGTTTCAATTTCTCCCTAGAAGTGACAAGTATCTTCTCTTGGCATGTTTCCACTGGGAGAGTCTCGTTATAGATGATACATTATCTGTGTTTGTGGAAACCATTCTTCACAGCCAGTTGTGAAATGCCAGGGCTTGTGTGTACTTTATTTTGTTTCTAAAACTCCTTTAAGGTCACAGCTGAGGATATCTCCTCCCCTTAAATTCCCACCGTGGTGTGAAACAGCTTTTCTGAAGGATTTTTGTTGCTGACAAGGACAGAAAGATGCAGTGCAGCTGTAATCCCTGAGCTGTGTCCCAGCAGATAGTTCTGCTGGATAAACTGAATTTGATTTTTAGATAGTGCTGTGCTCAAAGTACATTGTGGCTTCCAGGCTGCAGCTGTCCTCTGTCTGCCTTGCTTGGGTGTGTTCAGGTAAACATGCTGGTCTAGCTTTTGTCAGAGCCAGGCTGAAGGGAGGGGAGTTTGTTTGTGCATGTTTTGAACCTCTGCTGTACTTCAAGCATGACCTTGGTTCAAGAACACAGTTCTGTTTTCCGTAGTAGTGTGTGGGAAAGGAGGGGTTCCAGCAGAGCAGACTTTTCTGCAGGAATGTGGATGTTCAGGCAGATGCCACACAGATGTGTGTTTGTACAAAATTTACTATAGTAAACCAGGCAACAGGAATTGAATTTTCAAAGTAAAATCCCCTCATGCGTAGCAAGGCTGAAATGTATCTTTATTTAAAAAAAAAAAAAATCAAAACCAAATACCACCTGTTACTGTGTGCTCAGAAAGTTTCTCCAAAACCATTGCTGCACTTCGATAGTTGCTTTAATGTTTTAAGCTGATTAGAAAAACCCACCAAACAAATTTTTGTTTGCTACTTCTGCGGTCTGTTTTACCAGATGGAGACATGGTTTAGCAATGGACTTAGCAGTGCCTCGTTAACAATGGTTGTACTTGATGATCCCACCTTAATGAACCTGTTATTGTAAGGCTTTTTCAACCTTAGTAATCCATTGTAAGGCCAGAAGAAAACCATTTCTGAAGTGTCCCACCGGTCTTCAGGCTGCAAATGTATTATTGTTTAAAGCTGTTTGTGTTCTGCTGGAGTTCTTCAGGTTGTTTCTAAATTACTATTCTAAAATGAGTGTATGCCCAGTAGTGGGACCAGCGGGATCTCACTGTGCATGTGTAAGTAAAAACCCCAGAAAGGTCCATGGACCAAGTGACCACCTCGTGTCGTTACCCAACCTTCTTCACTATTTTTAGGGAATTTAAAGTCACATCATTGTGAAATTTATGTAGTGACTGTCTGGAGTGGGGTTTGAACTGCCACTTGAACTACCCTGTGCGCTTCATCGACTGTACAGCTTTTCCGGGGACAGTCATCCTTCATATTTAAATCGCGGGAATTTGTATTTTTCTTTTTGTTTGGGCTGGATTTTTCCCTGTTGTTTCCCTGTTGAGTCCCGCCGCCACCGCGCGCCAAAACCGCGCGCCGCCGCGCTCGATTCTCCCGCCAACACGCCCCGGGGGCGGGGCCGGGCGGAGCGGGCTGAGCCATTACCCTTCCGGGGGGGTGGGCGATGTGTGTGAGCGTCTGGGGGCGCGGGGCGGCCGCTGTGCTTTGCCTCTCGCCCCCCCTCCCCCCCTCCGCACCTATCCCGTGGATGCGCCCCGCGGGGAGGCGGAGCGGGCGTGTCGCTCTGCGCCGGCGGGAGATGCGAAGGGGCTGAGCGGGAAGGCGGCAGCGCTCCCTCGGCTCTGCCTCTCTGCCCGCCTCAGCTGTCCTCGCCTGCCAGTTCGTCACCGCCCGGCTCTCCTTCACCGACCTCCTCAGTTCCCCGCGCCCGGCTCTGCCTCCAGGCCTCCCTCCCGAGGATACCCCGCGCCATGTCCTTCCGCCAGAGGAGCCCGCATGGCAGCACGAAGAGCAGGTAGGGCCGCCGGGCCTCGTTCCCCGCGTGATACTCGGCCCTCGCTCCCCGCCGTCCCGCGGCGGAGTCTCTGAGGGGGTGGGGGGCAGGGGGGCGCAGAGCGGGCCCGCAGAGCCCCCTCAGAGCGAGCCCGTAGAGCGGGCCCGCAGAGCCCCCTCAGAGCGGGCCCGCAGCGAGTGGCGTCGCCTCCCTGCGTTTGCGGGAGTGAAATGGGTAAACAAGCGCGGTCTCTGAAGGAGGTTAAAGCCCTAAAGCCCACCGCGTTCTCGTGTGTCGCTGTGTTTGTCCCCAGCCCTCAGCACCCCCCGCGCTGGGCCCAGGCGCGGAAACGCGGCGCCGATGGGAAGCGGCGGAGGCAGAACGAGCCCGAATCCTCCGTGTTTGAGGAAAACGAGCCCAGGCCTGAGGACAGCCGGCTGGACAGGTGAGCGTGGTGACAATGGCAGCGACTTCCGGCTCTTTTGTTCGCGGGAGCTCTTATACTGACCCTTTTCTTCAGTTTTCCTAGCCCTGCCTGTTTATCAGTCCCTCATCAGCCACAAATAGCTGGTCATAAAGGAGGGAAAAGGATCGAGTGCAGTGCTTTTATCTTGGAGTCTGTTCTTAAGAGTCAGCATTTTTCATTCTTACCTCTTGAAATATGTCCTTGATAATTTATGTCCTATTTCGTGCTGGTTTACTGCCATTTATCGAGGACTAATACTGTGCAGGCCCGTTATGTTTGTACACAGGCTGTACAAACAGTTGTAAAATTGAAGTAAATGACAAAAATCAGTTCTTAGAAATGATCTATTTTGTGTTTCTGAAGAGAGTACAGAGAAGTTGTGTTATATTTCAACACGTTTGTGGGGGGATCCAGTTTTGAGGTCACCCCATAATGCTGCCTTCCGTGTTTGCCAGCACAGCTAGACTTAAGTATCTTATTTTATATCACATTTTCAGTCTGAGCTATTCATGCCACAGTCTCTTTAATCACTTTGATCTGTGGATGGGAGTTGTCCCCACAGCCCACTTAATTGAATCAAGGTTTCTTGAAAATGGGGTAGGTTGTGCCCACCATGTTCCTTGGCTGAAAAAGCAGGGAACACGTTGGTCAGTGGCACAAGTTACTCCATCCAGAGTAGCTTAAACTAATTCCAGGAAGCATGGTTGAACAGCAAGGATGAAACTTTACAGATATTTTCAACATAAATAAGTTAAATACTTTCAACACTTCTGTGTGTCTCCCAGTTTTGAATTGTGCAGACATACTTCCTGGTTTCAGTTTGGATTGAGCTCTGAAATTGTTCTCTTCCTCTGCCAAAACTGCTTTTTGTTTTTGCCAATCCAACCATTTCAAATTCTCAAAAGTAAGGAGGATCAGGATGGAGGCTGGGTCATCTTGATAATCACAGCACAGGTACAGAATCAAACAAATATAAAAAGGTATCACATCCAGTGTTGAGGAAAAAACTCAGCAGCTGGAGCCAACTGGGATTCTGCTGTTTGTTCTCTGCTATGGGAGAGCAATAACAAAATGTGGCCTGTATTCTCTGCAAATCTAGAAATTGGTGTAAGCAAAAGTTAAAAATCCTTGGAGCTTGAACAAATCTTTGCAGAGGCACCTGTACTGTTTGCTATGGATTTTTAATTCTGCCACGTTGGTAACTGGGTTTCATCTAAAAATAACTTTTAGTTTGAATTTAACAAACCACTCAAAGTTGTGCAAACCAGTTTAGGAGCAGGGAGGGAGTTGGAGCTGGTTTTAGTGCAGGTGGATCTAATTCCCTGACTCCAGGGGACACGTTTCCACAGAATCCTGGAACGTCTCCAGAGCATTTCCAGACCTGCTGAAAAAGCTCTGCTCTGTAGATACAGTTTTGAGTTTTACTTAGGGGAAAATTGGTCGTCAGGAAGACAGGAGAAACACTGAATAATCTGAATGCAGGCAGCAGTAGATGGCTGGGAAGAGGTATGGGCTTATTCCCCACAAGAGTCTGAACCTGCTGAACGTGGCCTGCAGCAAAGTTGTGAAACCAGTTTGCAAAGTCAGAGCAAATCTCTCTTTCCCAGCTAAAACAGGACATTTTTGTGCCTTTACCTTCTCTACTAGGCATATATTTACATGGTGCAACTCCTGGCGCTATCATGTAATTTTAATTAATTAGTTTTGCACTTAATTCTGTGCTCCAGATTTTCTCTTATACAGCTAATGAATCTGCAGTCATCAAAGAATAAATCATTGCTAAGTCATTTAGTGGAGTGAAAAGAAGTGAGTAAATGAATAAAGTTGGTATTTCTTGTACCATTTTCTGAAGAACACGAGCTGGAAGTTACTGAAAGCATGGGCTGGGTTATCAAGCTACAGTGGTATGGTTCTATAGATACCTGCATCAATTTTAAGAAAGCCCAACACAAGCCACACAACCTCAAGGTGGAAGTCACAACTGATGCTTAATTTTACAGTGATAAAATGTTAATAAAACATAAGGTTTCCACAGCCATTTTGAGTATTGTAAATAATTATGTTTAAGGGATCAAGCTGTGAATGGGGGAGGTGAATACAATAACCCAAACTTTTAACATAGAGCCTTAATCTTCTTTTTCTTTCTAGTTTTACAACACCAGAAGGTCCTGGACCCCTTTCCAGATGTTTAGACTGGGCAACTGCAGTGGAAGAAGATGAAATGAGGACCAATGTTCACAAAGAAATCGCAAGGTACTCCTGGGTGTTTAAGATGGAGTGGTAAAAGGAAGAGAAATAGAAGTTGTCTTGTAGAATGTTTCAACTTGTATTTTTAACTTCACTATTGTAGTAAAATCAGGCCATCCTCTGCTGCTTTTAGATCAGCTTTGGGTTAAGTCCTGCACGAATGTCATGGGATACTCTCTGGAGATTGGATGTGTATCCCTAAATATCTCCCTTTTGGAAGAAGCTTTCCTGAATCTCTTAGATTAAAATACCCTCTAACTAATGACTGTTTTTTCATATCATCGGTATGAGAAGTTGCTTTATGAAAGAGAGTCAGGAAAAAAAGTCCTTGTGTTTTTATTTTTTTAAGGGAAAAGTGAAACATCCATTTCATAGTGAAAAGTCTTTGCACTGTCTGGGGTGCTGCTGCTTTTCGGAAAAGTTAATTCAACTGTGAGCTGTGACAGTGCAGGCTTCATTCTTTGTGTACATAATTTCTTAAAACTGATTTGAATTCTTACAGACACAGAAGAAAACTCCTGATAAATGAATTTTCAAGAGAAAGGAAGTCCTCCTCGGGAAGGTAGGTTAAATTTCTAGCTTAGCTGAGGAAAGTCTTGAAAATAGAATTTTCATTGTACAATGTTTCTTAAAACACATGGTTTAAAACAGTTCATCTCAAGTCTGTTCCAACACCATGGTTTAGTAACACCCCGAGCATTTGTTTGAAAAGTTTTAACATGTTTATTTATAGCCTTTTACAAGTGGGTTTGTTTGAATGTCACGGGTTTTCTAGTAGTCCCAAACCTGCAATGTTTTTTTTCTTCAGTTCTGATTCAAAGGAGTCCACGGTGACAGTAGAACTTGAGACAGATGAGGTGGTTTTGATGAGAAGACAAAAACAGATAAACTATGGAAAAAACACAATTGCATATGATAGATACATTAAAGAAGTTCCTAGGTAAGCTGCTTGACTTTCTAAAAAACTAAATGTCCATCTGCAAGTCATACCTGTTCTTTATAAGCACATTAATGTACTAAACTTGGTATCCAATACACATTCTAATAGAAGGCATCTGCAAATTAAAGTTTTAAGACATTTTTGAACTGTTAGGTCACACTAACAGTCAACTTGAGGTGTGGTTTAAGGTTTTATTTTAATGAGTCAGTATATAAGAAATACCTCATGCTGCTGAAATGGAAATGAAAGTTCTTTTGGATGTGCTTGTCAATGAGAGGAAATGAAACTGCTTTTTGCAGTCAGTTTTCTCATGAATTAACTACAAGACAAAATGGGCTACAGTTGCTGTTGAGTTTGGAATTCAGTTTTCAGACCTAGAAATGATAATTCTTTATTATTATTTCATTTGACTTGAAGTCAGAAAAACTAAGAAGTTCATATGGAGCTGGCAAACCTTTGCTTGAGTGCTGGAATTGCACATTGGTCTTTCCTCATAAATAATACAATCAGTTAACATTTAAAGCTATGTTATGTATGTGTGACTAAAGCACTGATAATTTTTCATGTCTCATATCTGAATAGATGCCATCGTATACCAGGAGTTCATCCCAGAACTCCAAACAAATTTAAGAAGTACAGCCGTAGGTCTTGGGACCAGCAAATCAAACTGTGGAAAGTTGCCCTGCATTCCTGGGATCCTCCAACTGAAGGAGGATGTGACCTGCAGGAAATGTATGTACAGAGTATTCAAAATGCTGTTATAGAAATTATGATGTGAAGTCTCATGTTTAGGAGATAAACACCACCCCCAGCATAGTTCTTTTTGAGACAAGTCAGAGCTGAATTTTTTTCCTAATTATTTATCCACACTTGGTGCTGTTCAGTTCCTTCTCAGTCAAAATATCCAATGGCTTCCTGGTCCTTTCCCAGTATCCTTGGAAGGGCATACATACATATCCCTCACTTTTTTAATGGTGAAAGCAGAGCCAGTTCTGTGCTGCTCTGTAAAATAATCACCACACCATCAACAGGAGCCAATTCCTTCAGAGCTGCCTTCAAATTATCTGGTAGGAGCAGTGCTGGAGAGTTCTCATTAATGGCAGGTCTCCTGAATATTGAGCTTGGACCAATCCAGTGTACAGGAACCTGCCTCCCTCTTCTCACTTGCTAGGTCAAGAACAGACGTATAAAAAGTTTCTTCTCCAGCGAGGGAGAATTGTGAACTCATCCCAAGCTCAAAGCATGGCCACAAGTGTTCACAGCCCAACTCCAGAAGATGTAGAGTGATGCCCTAGTTATTTTCCTCTGTGGAAAGCAATACAGCTGATCAGCAACGTGTGACATAAAACTGGCAGTAGAGAATGAAGGGGACAAAGATGGAACTTAATTCCTCAGCAGGCAGTTTTTTGTTAATAGTGATTTTCCTTAATGGAATTTTTTAAAACTACTGCAGAGCAATAGGATCTAAAAGAAAAGCTTCTTTTTAGCTTCCCTTTACTTGCTATCAATGTGAGGGGAGTTAGTACTTCAGCCAGATCCCTGCTGTGTGCGCTGCTGTTGAAATGCTGCCTTCAGATGCTGGGGTCTAGGTCTGTGTGTAATGGATATTAAATCTTTGCAAAACAGATGGATGAAAACCTTGTCTGGGAAAAAAAAATTCATTCCTCTCCTGTAACATTTGCTTTGAGGCATTGCTTGAGCACCGGGTTTTTGTCTTTGACAAGCTGCAGTATTCAGTCTCAAGTCTTTTAATTCAGTCCTTGGCCATTTTGGCAGTACTGAGCTGTCCTGCAGTTCTGTTTGCTCTCCTCAGTTTGCCACCACTGTCCCTGTGATCTCTGTAGGTCTCTTTGCTCTCCTCTGGTCTTTTTTTTTTTTTTTTTTCAGAACTGCACAACAAAATGCATCTTAACACTAAAAAATCATTTTATTTTATGCTATATTCTTCTAAATGATTTTACAGTTGTCCTGTTGACCTTGGTGAGATGGAGACAGAATCTGTTGGAAGCAATTCTACTGAATCTCAAACGAGCTGTCAAGAAAATGATGTAAGCATATCTATTATTTGCATAACTATTTGCTGATAATTGTCTCATTGCTTAGAAATATATCCAGAGCAGCCTGAATACCTCACAGATCCATCATCTACTTTGTTTAGGGACTGTTTGTAAAGCTGAGAAATTTTGAAATTCAGGTATTTTCCAGCTATAGCCATGATCTGTCTTATGTAGTCTTGGGTTTAGAGAATTAGAACTTAAATTATATTCTCAAAATAAAAATATCCCATTTTTCATAGCCTACAAAAGAAAATTTATTTGTTGCAAGTAAATCATTTATGGACTGTAATGTCCTATATTACTTTAGATTGCAATATCTAATATTAAGATAGGGTGGAATTTCCTTGTCACACAGAAGTAGGCTCCTTTTATGTCCAGAAAGCACTTGGTGCAGCTGAGCAGTAAAGATCTAGGAATGCTTTTCTTACTGGGTTTATTTTTCTAATATTAAATCTGTATTATGCTTTAATGTTTGCATATGTAGGTCCTTGTTACGCTTGCAAGGTATCTTCAAATGTGGTTGGATGGGCAGAAGCCTACATCTCTTAATATTAAGACTAGCATTGAGTTTTTATGGCTTTTGAAGCATTTGTAAGCCTTTGTCATAGTGTGGTCTAAATGAATTACAGAAGTTAATTGAATTACCTGTACTAATAACCTTTACTTAACTAGTAATTATTGATTGCCTTTCCCTTCCAGGATACCTGTTCTGGCACTCCCACCAAAGTTAGACATGTTGACTATCAAGCAGAAGGAGAATTTGACTTGGAAGTGTGTTTGAGTGAGCCACTGAAAGAATTTGATACTGTGAGTTAAATAGTCTTGTGCAACCTGTTTTAGTGAAAGTTTCTTTTAAATTTGAGAGGTTAGCTTGATCCATAACCTGTTAATAGTAAGAAACCTTAAGCAAAGTTGAAGACTGTTCTCAAAGCTGTGATTGGTCTAGGTATTCTCCAGACCAAACTTATATAAAATTGCAATTAAGTTGTGTGACTTCTTGTTAACTTTTAATTTGTGTATATCAGATTTTTTTATAAAACTTTTCAATAGTAAAACTAGCCAATGGCAGTGCTATCCTCTAGTAATTATAAATAGCACAGCAAGATCTTACCAATTTCCCCCACTCCCTCCCCCACTGTGAACACGATTTCAGTTGTCCACCTGCAGATCAAGAGCCAAGTTGGGGTTTTTTGTTTTTTTTTGTTTCCTTGCTTTTACATATGGCTCTTGTAACACTCCTGACCTGAAGAAATGCACGTTTTAATGTGCATGTGGCTGATTAGTACTAGCAAGCCCATCTACTGCAGTTACTGTAAGTTTAACTACCTTACCTTAAAAAAAACACTTTCTTTTTTTGCAAAAATATTTCAGAAACAATTGGAAGTTTGATACCCTCAAGAAATTGGAGGTCAACATGGTAAAGTCTATGCAATAATGTTGGCTTTTTTTAAGAAGTAGTAGCCTTAACTTGAAATTTGTAAATAGTCATCAGTCATTTATTAATGCAGTCAAGAAAACAATGTCTAGAGAAAGTGCTTGATTCTTTCAGTTTTCTGGTTTTAAATGTAAAACTGTTGTAAATGTTACCAACTGTACAGATTTTCTGCTGAGAGCAGTTCGTGTTTCTATTGCTTTTGCGTGGGATGTTGCTGGAAAATAAACAGAACTGCATTTACTTTTACATATGACTCTTCATTTCCTGCTAGCAGTGCTCTGGCATAATGAAATGCAGGGAAATGCTGAAAGCCAAGTGATATTGGTACTAAGCCAGGATAAATCTGTATTAGCACCATCCTCTGACTTTGAGGAGACCTTAAAATCTATTTACATCGCCACCAGAGTGAATTTGAGACAATTTTGTTTAGTAGATGTCCATTAGCTGGTTGCCAAGTTCTGTTCTCTAGGAAAAACTGCTAGAAGAGCTGGGTGAACATTTCTTCACTTACAGGACATCTTTTACAGTCACCTCACCTGGTTTTATCTCTTAAAATGGAATTCCTGGGTGTTGATGTTACACCTCTTAAACTCGTCAACTCAAGGGAGTATCTTAACTAGTAATATTGGTTACAGCTGTCTGATTTGTTAGGCACTTTGGAAATCAGGTAACTTCATCTGATGGGGAAACTTCCAAGAGGAAGCAGTGGCATTGGGATAAGGTTGGTGCTAAGTTCTGATGTAAAGGAGACAGCCTTCCTCACATGTATTTTTTACAGAAAAAGCAACAAAATAGTAGTTGCTTTCTGCCTGGACTGAGCACCCTCTGTAATTCCCAGATTGCTTTTCTCATGTCACATTTTCTGGCCACACTGTTGCTGGTTGTTCTCAAGTATTTTTGGTGTGTCAGTCTGTAGCTGAGTATCAGAACTGCCAGTAGAACTGGGTTCTTTAAAAGAAGTTTTTTCTATCCTACTGTAGCTACCCAAACAGGTTGGATCAGTGGGATATTCAGGAGATTGTTTAGAGGCTTCTGAGGGGTAAGGTTACTTACACCTGGTTTTGAAATAAGGAAGCACATGGGTTGGGACAATCTCTCCAGCACAAATGCAGGCTGGGGGGATGAACAGATGGAGAGCAGCCCTGAGGGGAAGGACTTGGGGATGTTGGTGGGTGGATGAGAAACTTTAAGTGACTCAGCCATGTGCACTCACAGCTCACAAAGCCAGCTGTGTCCTGGGCTGCACCAAGAGCAGCGTGGCCACCAGGGGAAGGGAGGGGACTCTGCCCCTCTGTGAGGCCCCACCTTGAGCACTGCATCCAGCTCTGGGCTGGAATGTGGGGAACACAGTGCGAAGAACACTAATCCCTGGGCAGGGTTCAGGCAAACAACTGGGATGCACTTCTCTGTTATAATGGAGCACACAACAAATAATTCTCCTTTGGCAAGTGTCTTGAGGTGCTTTTAAATTTCTGCAGTTACTTCTCAGTGGTTAGTCCATAATGTGGTATATAATTTGAGATGAATCCAACTAATCTGCTACTACTCAGATAAGGTTCTCAGCACAGGCCTTGGGATATGACCCTCCTGCACTGCCTGTGCCCTGCCCTCTGAATTGTGCCCCCCTGTACATGACCCTGCCCTTCTGAGAAGGGTGTTGCCTCTCACTGTGCTCACTCTGTTCCATCTCTGCTCTATTCTGTCACCTTTCAGTGTGCTCTGTCGCTTCTGCTTTACACTGTAAGATTCTGTGACACTGTTTTGGGGTGGGTTTTTTTTGCTAATTTATCCTTTGTTTTCCTGTCGTGTGCTCCAGCTTGCTTACAGATATCTTAATTCTGTTGATCTCATTAAAAGCAATCTGAGGTGCTGTTCAGCTTTCAGTTCGGTGCAACACACTCACCCAGGAACCAGGTGGGTATGATCCAGACTAGAAGTGTAGCTGGTCTGTCTTCAGTAGCTGGTCTGTGTTCAGTAGCCCGTTGTGAAACAGGCTCAGATTTGTTACTTTTTCCTGAAGGAGCTGGCCATCCACAGTAATGTCTTCACTACAACAACTCCCCTTTGTCTCAGTTACTTAGATCACTTTGTTTTTATGGTTGGTATTTAAAGAGAGCACTCAGTTTGGATGTTTTTCCAAAGGTCATGAACACCAAATTGGAAAAAAAAAAAACAGTTTTTTGCAATAGAATTAAGCCCTCTAGTGGTTAAATGTGGGCTAACCCCATTCATTTAGGGCAGTATCTGGTAATAGAGGAATCTTATGGAAAAACAATGTCCATATGTTCAGTTGTGCAGAGTTGCATGTAGTGGAGTTTGCTTCAGATGGAGAGCAAGCAAGTACTGCTGTCAAATTTTAGCCTTATTAGGTTAAATTCATCTAAAAATAAAACGGAGCAGGTTGTTCTGTAGGCAGCAGAACCTGTCAACCCTGCTTTTTATAGACCTGTGCCTTCTGGTTTGTGTTTCTCTTACTCCCTTCACACCAAGCCCTGTCCCCTTTCAGCATCCTCATGCCATGCCTAGCTGACAGTCGTGGCTGTGGCTGATTTAAAGCTCCATCTGTTTTGGCTGGGCCATTGGTACATGTGTGTGGGTAGGGTGGCAAGCAGAACATTAAAGAGCTGAGCTATCCCAGCTTGTCCTTCACTTGGGCATTAATTGGGTCTTCCTTCATCACTCAGCTGTTGTCACATAAACCATAAGGGAACATATTTACCTTTCAGTACCTGGACAGCCAGTTCAAAAATTAGAAGTGACAGGACAGAGATTTTGGAAAAGACTTGTCAGTACAATAATTTAATGCTCCAAGGAACTCAAGCTAAAACCAGCTTTCTTCCATGAATCCATTTTTAAGTCCAAAAATACCATTCAAACAACTTTCTGTTCATGCAGATATTTACTGGAGTTATTTTCAAGATTTTCTGTTTTACTGTGTTCCCAATGTAAATAAGAGCAACTACATCTACCTGAGGATGGATCTGTATGTAAACCTGGGGGATCAGGCACTTATTTATCAAAACTAGGCTAGTAAAAGACCCCTTTTAAGAGAATTTTGACCTTACTAGAAGTTCTTGCTCTTCTGTATTTTCTTCTATATGGTTTCTCATAATGCGAGAAGATTGGTTGCTAGCTGTTGAATACTGAGTTTGAGTGCTTCCTGACAACTAGAGACAAATTTGCCAAAATATTATATAAATAGTTAAGAGAATGAAGTTACTTTGTGAAGTGTCAAAAATCCATTCTACTTTCAAGGAAAACAGTGTAGTTAGAATGTAATGTATACACTTTAGTTAGAGAAGGTGGTAATGCTGAGCAGAATTTATTCCAGTTGTGCACTGTTTAGTTTTGTGGCATCTGGGTAATACTTAAATGCAAGGAACCAAGATTTAGCAACTGCCACTGGTGGCCCCCACTGCATTTTTTGATTACCAGTCCTGTTCACTCTGAGCTTGTCACTTACCTCTTGGATTGTGTTCAAGCACAAGAGAAAACTAATTTATTCAAGAAATGCTGATTCGTACACTCAAAAAATAACTTCACTTTGAGTGGAAATTTGGAACTTGTTTTGTGGGTTAAAGTGGGGCCCAGCTGTCTGTGTTGGGACCTTTCTGTCTGTCCAAGTGTATTGAGAAAGTTTCTGGGAGGTACAGGAGTGGCTCTAATTATTAGCAAAAACAATGTTCCCTTTTGTGTTTCTTTAGAAAGGGGCTGTTCCATTTCTGCTGAGAAATACTTTGTTTTCAGAAATATGAGTGCCATATAGAGATGAAGATTTGGGCCTGCTCTTTCATTCCACTTTCATGTGCTGGAATCAAAGATACTTTGGAGCACTGCAGAGGGCAGTAAAAGTGCATGTTTAATTACAGGCACACAAAAGGGAGCTCTGAGTTGCTTTATATTTGTTGTAAATGCCAGGAATCTAATTATACTTACTGATTCTGACCTCAGGAGCAACCCATAGTCCCAATAAAGCCCCTGCAAGTCTGTCATCTTTCACTGTTCTTTCCATTTCCAGTTTCACTTGATCTTAAGCCCATTATTACAAAGAATGGAAGATAATAGTAACTTAACAGCAGACAGAGGAAAAATGGACTTCAGGAGGGAGAAAAAGTCCTCCTGACAGACAGTACGAGCCTGCTTGCATTTAAAATCCTCAGTGATCTACAGTGGAAGTATCTGAAAATGCTTATTTTAGTTGTTTGAGCTTCACTTTTGTGAACAACAGAAAACTATTTTTTCCTGAGGGGTTAAGATTTCCCAGGGAAAACTAATTTCAGGATTTTATCCACAGCTGACTAGCTTCAGAATATTCCTGGACATTGAATCCAAATTCCTTGACATGTGTTAGAAAGTGTGTCATACACCTACCAAGCCCTCACTGCTCTGAAAGTATTGCTGTCTGAGCTCAAATTCCACCTTGCAACTGGAGTGTTGGATGTGGAATTGTAGCAGGGAATTAGCAGCAACTGAAAGGAGCGTGTTGGTGAGGTTACCACGTGTGTGCAGAGGAAAAGGAACACAGAGAGAGTCAGTCCCTCCTGGAGACTGCTCATAGCCTGAGCAGCTGAATGTTGAATTGCAAGGATATGGCAAAGCCAGAATTGATAGGTCTATCAGGAATAAAATGTCGTTTTGCTGGGCCCCTGCACTACAGCACTTATCTTGGAAAGAAAAAGACAAAAAATTAAACCAGCCAGGCTTATCTAGAAGCAGACTCATGCCTCAATATGCTGCTAAAATTTCTGGAACAATGTTCTCCAATGATAAGACTCGTAAGAAATGTGCAGTATTGATTAACAAAGAATGGCCTGATAGTGCCTAGAAGAATTTGGTACTTCGTGACCTGTCAATTTACCAAAATAATAAATTATTATTTTAATGATATTTGAGAATAAAACTCCTTCCTCTCATTCTTATGAGCAACAATCTTGATGCTAGACCATGTGGAAGGCACAGAGGTGAGGCTTAACCTGATCCTTAATCTATTTTTAATGGATTCTGACCATTCCTTAGAATACTTATAAAGAAACATTCTGATTTTGTCATGTTGCCCTCCCAATAGTAAATTTAGATACATCAATTATTGCAATTCAAATATATATATATTTAATATCTATAGAATGTATAGATATATGTAATATTTTTTAAATCTTCTGAATTGTTGACAGAAGTGCTTCAAGTAGGAGTGGATCCCATTATTTCTCTGAATTATAATAATGCCATAGACTAAGTGAGACCTAGTG